GGAAGAGTGCAATGGAAATTAGGAGCCATGGGGTGCAAGTAGAATAACTGTTATTGCATGGAGGGGACTACAATCACTGAGATGAACAAGTGTCTGATTTGTTGGATGTAAAACTGATGATCTGCTCTGCAAACCTTCACTCAACTCACAATAAAAAAGGCTCAGAAAATTATTTAAGTCATGATAAATGTAACAGAAAACTAAAGAATGATGGCACTTCAGGATAAAGCATTGGCCCACAAGTGGCTCTGCAGTTCTAACCCACCAGTTGCTCCTTGGAAACCCTACACAGGGCCACTGTAAGTAGGAACCAACTCAATGGCACTAACAACAATGGAGAGCCTTGTCAATTTATCTGAAGCATGGAATTAAAGTTCCTAAGGACAAGAACATGTGCTAGAAACTTATCTAACACTCAAATCTAACTAAATAAAACTGCTGGCTTCATGGGAATAAATCCCCTGTACTAAATTTGATAAGGAGTCCTGGTATGGTGCTCTGGGATAATGCACTAGACCACACAGTTGGTTTGAACCATAAGGTCGGCGGTTCAAACTCACCAGCCGCTCCTTGGAAACCCTACACAGGGTCACTATGAGTTAAAACTGACTCCACAGCACTTAAGAACAACAAAAATTTTGATTAACAGATCACTCCTAAGTTAAAAAAAAACTTCATTTGTTTTTTCAGGATCTTTCCTTGTTTTCCTACTTTACTGGTTGCTCCTTCTTGGTCCTTCTGATTCTTCCTCACCTCCCCAACTTCTTAACATTGGTGTTAACAGCCAACTTTTTACTGTTCTTGTTTACGGTTATTCCCATGGGAAACTCATCCAGTTTCATAGTTGTTGTCATTAAGTCGTTAAATGCCATCAAGTTGGTTCCAACTCATAATAACCCTGTATAGGGTTTCTGAGACTTTGAAATCTTCACAGGAGCAGGACACCTCATCTTTCTCCCATGGAATGACTGGCAGGCTCAAACTGAAGCTCTTGTGGTTTGCAGTCCAGTGCTTATCATATGGAACCACCATGCTACCATTTCATAGTGTGACTAGCTATATACTGACCACTTTCAAATTTCTATCTCCAGCCTGGACCTAAATTCCAGACCTGTATATACAATTGCCTGCTGAATAACTTAATTTGAATGTCTAATAAGCATCTTACAAAATCTCCTTCTTTCCCAGTCTTACCAAGCTCTTCAATTACTGAGGCCAATTGCTCAGACCCAAATTTTGTAGTTTCCTTTGCCTCTTCTCTTCCTCTAATACTACATCACATCCAATTCAGCAGCAAATGTACCTTCGGATCAGACCATTTCAAATCATCACTATAACTCTGCCCTGAGTCATCAGTATCTACTGTCTGGATTACTGCAACAACAACTGGTCTCCTTACTTCCACCACCACCTCTCCTCCCCTCCCTACTTTACAATGTATTCTCAACACAGTCATTAGGGTGATCCTTCAAAAAGCAAATCAGATCAGTTTAGTTCTCTGCTTAGAACCACCCTCTGCTGACTTACATTTTCCCCAAATCCTCCCATGTCCTCTCATCTCTCTGACATCATACCCTGGTTCTAGGTCCCCCTTCATATACTGTGCTTCAGGCCTTCTGAACAGAAGCTCCTCCAAAACACTTTGCACTTGCTTCCTACTGCCTGGAATGTTCTTCCTCCAACTATCCATATGCCTTGCTCTCTCCTCCTCGCCTTTAGGTGTTTGCTCAAATGTCACCTTCCTTGTGAGACCTTTCTTGGCTCGCACTCCCCACTCCCCTCCTACTCTTTTCAGAGCGCTTGACCATCTACTGTGATGTTAGGAGTTTTTCTATGCTTTGTTACATGGTGAATTCCAAGTGCCAAGAAAGTTGATGGTACACAGCAGCTGCTCAAATATTTGTTAAATAAATCAGTGTGAAAAACTGAAAACCATATATAAAAATGTGTAACTCATACACACACACACAGTCTTAGATTTATCATTAAATTTTTGGGTCTACTGTCTACGTCATTTGTTCTCAGTCTTTTCAAGTACTATAGTGGACATTGTTCTTTGGTGGGTCTTTCCTTTGGGGAACTTCCTTGCCCCCATCTCATGCTAGTAACTCTATTCACTCCATGTTAATTTGTTTGTAATGATTCCATCTCTTCAGGGTTGTGCATAAAGAGCTCTAGTAGCGTGGTGGTCATGAGTCGGGCTTCGAACTTCAAGGTCAGCAGTTTGAAACTACCAGCTGTTCCACAGGAGAAAGCTGAGGCTTCCTGCTCCCGTAAAGATTTACAGCCTTGGAAACCCTGTGCAGGGTTGCTGTGAGTCGGAATCGACTCTGTGGCATACCACCCCCACCATGACCAAGGTTGGGCACATAACTGGAACCAAACTGCTCAGAGTCTTTTCTGAAACACTGTTCAGTTATTAGGAAGAATACTACCTCTCTTCCTCTGGAATCTTAAACTCGAAGAACTTATTTAGCTGAAG